TAAAAATCGCAACCATCAACATCCGTAAACTTCTGCATCCGCAAACGCTGCATTTTAACAGGTTAGATTCTCGGACCTAGATTTATAAATTCCACCTAGCAGGTTAGATATAGAAACAACGTTGAAACACGTACCAAAAAGGGTAAGGAGAGAAAAAATAACATCTGATAGAAGGTGGGGTCCACAAGCTCGGCCTCCACTGAATACATAAATGTTTGTTGCGTCTTGAATTGTAAACGCACTTGCTACCCGAAGTCCGAAGAGAAGAGAAGCGTCACTCTCGCTTGCCGAAATCAGATGGCGTCGTCAGATACGTCGTGCTGCGGAGCCGCGTTCTGGTTCGACCTGGTGATCATCATAGCTCTCGTCGCCTTCGCTGGGCTGATGGCAGGTCTAACCCTCGGTCTGATGTCTCTCGGATTAGTCGATCTCGAAGTTCTCATCAAATCCGGCCGTCCTCAAGATCGAATCAACGCCGGTGAGTATTCTTCCCCCTTTTTTTTATTTTGATTCGTTGCAATTGTGACTCAAATTGATTTCACTGTCTTGTATTGTGTTGTTAGGTAAGATATTTCCAGTAGTGAAGAATCAGCATCTGTTGCTCTGTACCCTTTTGATCGGAAACTCTATGGCTATGGAGGTACTACTCTTTTGTTATGATTTTGATGCATAGACTTGTATGGCTACTAATGTCCGTCTCTCTTTGGTCGTAGGCTCTGCCAATATTCTTGGATAAAATTGTGCCTCCATTGGCTGCTATTGTTATCTCAGTCACTCTCATTCTTGTCTTTGGAGAGGTTTCTACACATCGGTTTTCTTATTTATTTTATTTTTATTTGTTCATTTTCATCAGATTTTTCTCGTTGAATATTATTTGCAGATAATGCCACAGGCTGTTTGCACTCGGTACGGGCTCAAGGTTGGAGCCATAATGGCTCCTTTAGTTCGTGTTCTTCTCATTCTCTTCTTCCCTATTGCTTATCCTATCAGTAAGGTGGAGATGTTGATCCGTTTTGTTTCCTTTACTGGTTGGCTAAATCTTTTTTATTACAATGTGTTTATTGATTCTGACACATGTTTGTTGAGTTCAGGTTCTTGATTGGATGTTGGGTAAGGGACATGGTGTTCTTTTACGGAGAGCTGAGCTCAAGACATTCGTGACTTTCCATGGAAATGAGGTATGAGGTTGCATTTAAAACCTGACTCTTGTGTGAGAGTTTCTTACAGCAACCTTACGGACTTCTGTTTTTTTTTTTCTGTTGTTAGGCTGGGAAAGGTGGAGATCTTACAACCGATGAGACTTCCATCATCACAGGTGCACTTGAATTGTCAGAAAAGACAGCAAAAGATGCAATGACTCCCATATCCAACGCATTCTCCCTGGATCTTGATTCAACTCTTAATCTGTGGGTTTTATGTTTCGTGCCCTTTTCATCTTCTTTTTTTACATTTATATATTCGATCATGCTTATTATCTGCTTTCATCTTCGATACAGAGAAACTTTGAATACAATCATGTCAGTTGGTCATAGCAGAGTTCCAGTTTATTTCAGAAATCCTACACATATAATTGGCCTCATTCTGGTACCCATATTTCATACTTTTAGATGATTGATCCTCTTTATCTTTTCATTTAGGTACTTAAGTCTTTGTTTTTGTATTGTCTACCTTAAGTGTAATCTGTTATGAGAGTGGAGTTTCTAGTGTTTCGAGAAAGACTATCTTGTAACTACTAAATCTCAATCGTTACTCTTTAACAGTAACAAATAGTGCTCATGTATGAAGGGTTATGACCTTTTCCTGAGCAGGTAATGTTGTTCCCTTTTGCTGGTGCAGGTTAAAAATCTTCTGGCAGTTGATGCAAGAAAAGAAGTTCCTCTGAGGAAAATGATCATGAGAAAGATTCCACGGTAAAATACTGCTTCTCTCTCTAATGTTTGTTCACATTCGTGACATGTTTTTTTTATAGCATTAAACAGAGTTCATATCTGTAACCTACTTTTTTCAGTGTATCTGAAACCATGCCCTTATACGATATCCTAAACGAGTTCCAGAAAGGCCACAGCCACATTGCAGTTGTCTATAAGGATCTTGACGAGCATAAAGTATCTCCCGAAACAAGTGAGAATGGTATTGAGCGCAGAAAAAACAAAAAAACTAAAGATGAGTTGTTTAAGGACAGTTGCAAGAAACCAAAATCTCAGATTGAAGTATCAGAGAAGGAAGGTATGATGATGAGTCCGCATGATTTCTCAGTATTATAAACTTTCCATTTGTTAACACATGCTTGTCCGAGTTTAGTATTCAAAATTGAATCCGGAGATGCAAAATCCGGTAAGAGTGAGAACGGTGAGGAGCAGCAGGGGAAGACGACTCTCACCGCTGCTCCAGCTAAGAAGCGACATAGAGGCTGTTCCTTCTGCATTTTGGATATCGAGAACTCTCCTATACCTGATTTCCCTCCGAATGAAGAGGTTGTAGGCGTTATCACCATGGAGGACGTCATCGAAGAGCTTCTTCAGGTTAACTCAAAGCCTCTCTGTAGTACTAGAGAAATAACTAAATAAATCATAATTACCCATGATTTTTTTTTTCAGGAAGAGATCCTTGACGAAACCGATGAGTATGTGAACATCCACAACAGGATAAGAGTTAACATGCATGCTTCCCAGGAAAATCTACCAAGCGTGATAACCTCTATCACGCAATCATCATCTGGTTCAACTAGTCCCAACCGAACATCTCATATGGCCACACCAGATTCGAGTCCTACAACAAAGCCATTAGGAAATCTGTAGATTGTTCCCACTCTATGGCTCCAAAACATGAATATTCAATATAATTTCTTGATGAAGATAAGATAGATAGTTAAAAAGGATTTAACTTATTAAAACACTGCTTTTTCTTTTGTTAATGTTTTGGTGTTTGAGATCGAATACTTGTTAGTGGTTTGATGGTTTATTTATTTGTACGTAAAGAAGAGGATGGGTCTTTTCTGAACAAATATAATACAAGATTCTATAGTTTGTTTTCGAACAACAGAAATAGAAAATATAATTTACTAAATTTTAAGTGTTTTTTTTTTGTAACACTCGTTAAATATGGATTACAAACTATGAGAAATATTATATAGATATATTATATAGATGTATTATAGTTGACAATTTTATCTGTCTTGTGCGAGTTTATGTTTGACTATATTATCTTGAGCCGTCTTATGAGATCCATTCGTAATGGTATTCCTTGCACCATTCACCTTCTATGGGAATTAAAACCCACATGGTATAAAAATTGAGTAGACTGGGATTCGAATCTCAGACATGGTATAGAAGCCTTTAAATCTTAACTAGATTTTGATCCGCGCAATCGCGCGGGTATTTATTTTTGTTTATAGTTAGTTATATAAACATTTTGCTTTCACTTGTAAATTGGTATATATTATAATAATCACATATTTACGATATGTATACTAAATGTTTTTCAAACATAATAATATTATATAATACGTGTTTTAATCAAATAGATTGTTTCAAATTTTTTATATTATACACATGTTTGAAAAACATGTGTTTCTTCTTCTATATTTTATTGTTTGTTAGATTGATATTTCGTTTTTAGATAAAGTAATATAAATAGAGCTTGATTAAATATTATAAGAAATTTTATTAAAAAATAATTTTATTAAAAATAATTTTTTAAACAATTCCTTTTCTTAAAAAAATATCATTTGAAAAATTTACATCGAAATAAATTTATCTAGTATATATAGCGTGTAAATTTTGTTAGGGTATATAAATGTTTCATATTACGAATCTGTGATTTTTGTTAATATATTGTGTATGCATTTAACTATTATTGACATATTTTCTTATAAATAATAGAAGATTTCTAAAAACAAGGAGGATACTTGTTTCCCAACAAGTACCTGCAACTCACCTCACTAGCCACCATACCTCCATAGTCAAGCTAAATGACTTTAACTATGCGCTGAGTGGGAGGAAACCCACTATTAGGTATTTTCTTATTTAGTTTTATATCATTTTGGTTTTTACTTTTGTTTTATTAGTTTCAGAAGAGATTCTACACGATCACTACCTCTATCGACCGATACGATCCTGTCGACATCGCTCGACAAAGACCTATCCATGACGATCGACAAAGGCGACTCACCATCGATCGATACGAATTCCGGTCAGGTATATCGTTCACAATTTTCGATATCAGTTATACATTATTTATTTATGTCCTAAGTCCGACTGGTTATACACTGAGGACAGTGTATGATTTAAGTCTGGGGGAATGGAGATTACTGATGCTACTTTACCTTTTGATCTCATTAAATGTTTTTAAAATTGGTTTTATTGAGTCAAGAAGGGGACAAAAATATTTTTTTTACTTTTTATCTAACCATTTTTTAGCACCTTTCTTAGAATTTTTGATTGCAGAAAGTACTATAGATGATAAAGTGGATCACCGGTCACCTATGACAACACTTTTCATGATTGTTTGGAAGAACAAAATCTGATTTCCAACCTAACCTGACATCTATTGCTTGTCTTGGGGCTTGGTATACAAGGGATCAGAATCCTCCTGTAAGTTTGGAAGGTAAAAGTCTTGATAATTTTGGTTTCTTTCTCTCCTTCCTTTGGTATCCCAAAGAAAAAGAGGAAAATAAAAGATTGAGATGATTTCTTGAGAGGCAGAGGGAGAGGTACATTACCCATGACCTCACTATTCTAATTCAAAGGAATGATCACACATTGTGGAAACGAGGGAGAGGTAAATTACCCATGACCCCACTATTCGCCTACACTTTGTCAGAAAAGGCTACAAAAAGTAGTAAGATCAATAAGGTGAACATTTGTTGTTCATTGGGATTCATATAAAAGAAAAAGAAAAATTTGGGATTCAGAGAAGGGAGATATAGGGAGAAAAGAAACCAGAATGAGAATGCCTGAAACTTGCTTGAGTTGAATCCAAGTGTTCCTTGATCGATACTCCCAAGGTAAAGCCTACACTTATATTTTATCCATAAATGAAATCAGTAGAGGGGATAGACAAACAAGATTGCTAAGCTTATTTGCTAGATGAATTTGGTTGCTAAGCTAGGATATGGTATAATGTACTTCTGTAGTTAATATATATGAGATGTGGCTTGCAACAAAGTAGAGGTGATGATCTTAAGTTAAGATTTGATTGAGTCCCTGCTGTTTTTCTAAAACATCTTCCAAAAACTAACTATTGTGTTTCCTTGAGGACAAGCAAAATGTTAAGTCTGGGGGAGTTGATCTACCATGGTTTTGACCCACTTTTAACCATGCTATTGAGATGATTTTACAATATACATATATATGTTTTGGAGTCTACTACGTATGTTTTCAGGTTCATGAGCATTTTGGAGTAACGTGATGATTTAGGTGCCCTTGTGGAGCTTAAATGAGAGTTTTCCCGAGATGACTATGAAGATCAGACAACAAGGTCGATATCCAGAGATACATATCGATCGATACACATCCTGTGTAATCGATTGACGACGCTTCCGTAGAAGATGACAAATCGAGATACTCCATCTATCGATGTACGCCTTGTACCATCGATCGATATCGAGCGTGAAGAACAAGTTTGACTCAGCCGACTTGAAGCCCAAGTTCTCTCAATATTACAAAATTACCCCTGACGAGTTTTTAACCTAATGGAACTCATATTTATAGTTATGCCTATGTGTTTTGGCTATACATGTTTTTGTGCTTTTTGAACTTTACATGCTTTCTACATGTTCTGCTTTTGAATTCTTTTTATGCTCTTAGTTATTTGATTTATAAAAGTATTTTTTTCATCTTATTCACATATTCATAAAAGGTTATAGAGTTCTAGATTTGGAAGAACACACAAAGAGATTTGTTGTTCAAAGGAACCAAGTGTTCAATCTTCTAATCTTATGAATTTCTATTATTACCTTGATGCTATGAATCACTTAGCCATGTATGAGTAGATTCACTTGTTAGATTTGGGGTTCAAATAGTTATGAGGGATTCGCCCCAACTATGGATTGTTGAGTTGTGATATTCATTATCCTAGTGAACCCTAATGCTTACTCTAGAATAGCTAACTAGAGTATGATCATGGAGTGATTTAACTTGTTAATCATAATCCTGAAATCATCTAGTATAAGCTGAGATCCTCTAGGGACGAACGGGAGCCGGTCTATGATCTTGGTGAACACATATTCAATTCGATCTGAAGCTATATCGATCGATACTCCTATAGAGTAATCGATCGACGGTAACCTATATCGTCCGATATCGCTGTCAAAACATCGGTCGATATTGCAGGCAGTCAGATCAATGGACGAGTCTAAATAGCGATTGTTAATAGACTTATCTAAGAGTTGAAGTTCTTTAATATCTTGCAAGCAACTTATTAAGACATCTGTACCATTATAATCCAGATTTTCTGAATAGCAACCTTGAATCTAACTACTTTCTTTTATTGTTTAAAACCTAAACCAACTCTCTTGAGCAACTCACCATTGCTCACAATTGCAATTTACTTTTAAACTTAATCAACCTAGCATAATCACTAAGGATTATATCTTTTGTGTTCCTTGTGGATTTGATCCCTAAGTACTACAATTGAACCTCTTATTTGAGAGAGTAATTCTCTCCTTAGGGTAATTTAAGTGATATCAATTCACCATAAATTTTGAATTAAAATTTTAAGTTCTCGCTTTCTTTTTCAATTAAAAAAATAAAATATCTATATTTTATATGGTAAATACATTAATATATATATATACATATATTTATATATATTAGTTTGAATATCTATTAACTAAAACCTTTTTACTCATATAGTTTTATGATTATTTATAAATTTTATAATCAAAATGTTAAACCATCAGTCACAGATTTTTTATTGTGTGACTTTTAACAGCTTTAGTAATTTATAGTATTTAGAAAATTAAAATTATAACATATATCAAAAGTGTATTTTTTTATTATATGGTTAATATGATTGTTTATTTTATGTTAATAATAAAAATTAAATGTAAATGATGGAGGATACAAATATTGTTAAGAAATCCTTGTTATTACACTTATTAATTGTCACATATATATTTTAATCTTACTAAGTAGTTTGGTAATTTTTATTTAAGGAAAGAATACAAAATTCTAATTGTTCATTATTAATTAATTTTATGATTGTTTTGATGAGGACTATAATATATATTGAATGGACCAATATATTTCTCCAGAGACTTTTATAAACATTTCTAGTGATGTCACGTGTCATAACTAAAATGTTCTAATGCTTATCCTTTAATGTATAAAGAATTTTTGGAATTAATATTTAATCCATAAAATTTTGCTGTACAATTTTTTGAGATTTATGGATTTAACTGATAACCATCACAAGAACATTAGAAACAATTTGAAAAGGACATATGGGAACAAAACAAACGAACGAGGAGATTTTTTTCTCAAATTTAACAAAGAGAAAATTTGTGTTGTAGTACTCTACAACAAAAAAAAAGGAATGAGAAAGAAGGAAAATAAAAATTTATTCATTAAGGAATTTTTTGTTTCTTTGATCACCATTCAAAATCTATATATAATCCAACTGGTAAAAAGGAAAAAGAAAAAGAAAGAAGAACAAATCGAGAGAGATTATAGATAGCGCTAGGAATTTAAGTTGAAATCTGTAGGGCCGGGCCCATTAAGCTTACCGGGATGGGGGGGGGGTAGGGCCAACAAAATTGAAAAATATTCAATTTGTGGGTCATGAGGATAGGAGTTCAGATATAGCAGGGTGATGTTCTGCGTTTTACCAGAGGCCAATTAACTTAATGTGTATGCTACCACAACTGAATGGTATGTCATTGCAGCACTTTAGGATCGAATCCACAGAGAACTAGTGATTGGTAACATTAAGAATACATAAATCTCCTTAATTTAAGCAAATAGAAAGGTGAGGTGAATACTTAACTAATGAAATAGAAATACAACTAATAAATACTAGTAGATAAAAAACTAACAAATACAAGCTCTTAGGTATGGTAATTGATCAGAGATGATCGACTTAGATTTAGATACCATACATCATCGACTAACAAATACTCTAAAAGTCTTGATCTCGTTTACATAGATTAATCCACTTTCGTGACAGAAACCCATATGCTAATCATGAAGTAAACATCAACTTATGTTGGTATAACACACTCAAGCATGCATGAATCACAAGTCTACTAACCACTAGACATCTCGGGCATCAATTTTCGTTGCCCAAATCTGTAAAAAGCAGTACTAAGTTCGTTTGCGCATTTTAACAAACACCCCCCGAGCGTGAAATAGCTTAGAATCTAGATCTGAGACATCAAGTCAAATCTAGCATAAAGAACCCTTAGCAAGCTTAGAAAAATGTTAATCTAGTCTTAAACATCATTAATCATCCATCTTTCACTCAAATCTACCAACCAAAAAACTATAAAAACTTACTCACTATAAGGCATCAAAACCCTAAAATCTGTCACCAATCCTTGGAGAATCATGTTTAGAGAAGAGTGGAATAGATATAAACAAGATAAATACTAGATTAATGCAAAAAATAGATAGAATTTCAGATCTAAGAACAAGAGAAAACTATAAAAGGTGGTTGAGGTAGCTTAGGGTTTTTATTACCCTCAACAACATATATATAGGCAAAATAAAATAAGGTTCAATCACTAAACGCTAGGTCACCAGAAGTTGGGGGCTGCGACTGCGTTTTGTAAAATCGCATTTGGCGTTCACTGCGTTTAGAGCTCGGGTCTTCAGATCACTTCTCCGTCGTCGCGTCTTGGTGTCGTCTCATCTCCGTTCAAGTCGCCGTGGATTAAGAGAGCACCATCGAACAATTGGATACTTTCTAAGACGGTCGATTCACTCAACTTGTTTGGAGCATGATGGAGTGAGCGATCCATCTTCTCCACATCGATCGTTTCGTCTTCGCCGAAGCTAGGGCTGGGCTCAGAGCGATGAATCGAGAGCTCTGTTCTTCGTGGAGTGGTCGACTGGTGGTCTTCGGCTCAGGAAATCCAAGCTTGGATTCGAGGGTACTAGATCAACGAGTCATGGCATTCACATTGAGAACTCGCAGACCTTTGGTTTCAGACATGGCCAATTCTTGTCATTTTGCAGGATTGGTCTCTATATTTTGGCCCTTTTCTATTTCAACCCCATATCTCTATTTCAGAACAAAATCCTTCGATTTTCCCAAAAACTTCTAATTGTGCACTCTAGTCCCTGTGTATGCAAAATATACATATGCAACTCCTTACAACACGTAAATGCAACTCATAAATACTAAAATGTTTAAAAATCAATAACTAAAAACATGTAAACACTTATCACAGGGCGGGTGTGGATCTTGGTTTATGTCGAAGCGAATACCTGCCAACCCGCTTAAAACAAAACCTTATCGTTTAAAAGTGTTACAACTAGATTGTTTGTTTTTTTCTTGTGTGTTTATTAACTGGTTTGTGTGTTGTTTTTATAATTATAACTAAAATTGTATGTTGTTTTAAATATAATTCATATAGAACAGAAATTTTCTTAACTGTAAAAGACAATCTATTTTCCTACGCTGAAACTTAACTTTCTCGATTCAGTCTGCAAGTCGTTTCTCTCCCTGTCGGCAAACCAGAAGCACCAGTTTCTGTTTTCAAATCAGAAACCACTAGTTGATCAAAGCATTCTATCTTTGACCAAATTTTAAATCTTAAATGATTTTATCTTTTATGTGAATAGCATGATTCGAACAAGCTCCAATAAAGCCTTAATAAAGCCCAAATGGCCGAACCTTAAGAAAAAAAAAAACAAGAAACGAAAGAAGTTAGGCGCTAAGGCTGAATTCGAAACACTCTCCAAATTACTCCGATCACTACCGCCCACCGCTATTTCTACTCCGACTATTCTAATTTATAATTATTTTATTTTAACAAAGCACAAAGACCATTATACCTTCCTCTTCTTCCCGCTGTTTCCCCTCTCCATCTCTCTCTTCTCTTCTTCGTCGGACTAACCTAACCCAAGATTCTCGCCGCGAGTAGGCTTTTTCGAAAAGTCACGTTCTCACTGCCCGGAGATTCCCCTCACATGGCCGCGACATCAAAATCCGGAGAAGATCCGAGTCTCTCCTATACTCACCAATCTCCCTTCAGGTTCGACCTACTCCAATCTCTCGATCCACGTCACTCGTCCTCCTCGACTCCTTCTTCTACGAATCGACCATTCTCGGTCTCTCAGCCGCTTCAGAATGCTCAATCGCCTCAAATTCAAGCTCACTGGGACGACTCCTACTCCCCAATCACTCAGCAATTCGTGAGATTCTGCTACCACTCCAACTTCCTATAGATTTGATTGACCTATATTTCAGAAAACTGAATGAAGTTTTCCATTAAGGGAAACAAAATCCAAAACTGGATCTCGAGTTTTCAGTAAGAGAATTGATTCTATCTGATATCTTACTGCAGAAAAGTAGAAACATGCCTGGGGAAACCATAGATATAGCTAAAGTCATTGTGAAACAAGAATCTCCTCAAGAGAGTACTATGTGTGGAAACAAGTCAAAAGTTACTAAACAATCCAAAGCAGTTAAGCTAGGTTTGTAGTATCTCTTTGTGCTTAATCTTTCGCAATTCAGCATTGTGTGGTGATTGATTTTGTCTTCCTGTGTGCAAGCTCAACAACTTGGTGGACCTAATGGAAGTAATAACTGTCGTTATGATAGTTCTCTAGGTAAACTGCAAAGCGTGATCACATCTCTACTTCTCTGGGGATTGCAGATGTGATTTTTTTCCCTTTGTTTTGCAGGGTTGTTGACAAAGAAATTCGTCAACTTGATCTTAGAAGCCGAGGATGGCTCACTTGACCTTAACCATTGTGCTGATGTTTTGGAGGTAGCCACCTTTATAAACCCTTTGACTGAAGTCATTAGCTATCTTCATGAGTTTGTTAGAATCTTTTCTTTTGATTCCCTCTTAACAGGTGCAAAAAAGAAGGATATATGATATTACAAATGTACTTGAAGGAGTTGGATTGATAGAGAAAACTACAAAGAACCATATTCGCTGGAAGTAATTTACTTACACAACTCGTTTCTTACTGACATACGTTGCAACATTATTTAGCTCAAGTTCTTCTGACTATTGATGCAGGGGTGCTGACAATTTGGGACAGTTAGAACTGGGAGATCAGATTTCTAGGCTTAAGGTTCATATATATCACTTCTTCATTTGAATAAGCAAATCACATTGTCTTATTGTCTAGATCATGAATTCATTCTTTAATGCAAATGCGTGGGATATGACTTATGAGATGTTCTTGCGTTTTCCACTCTGAACGTTACAGTTGATTCACACTTTAAAAAAAAAAAAATCTCCCACTATATAATCTCTACATATTTTCAGTTAGAAGTAGAAAGTATGCAATCTGAAGAAAGCAGGTTGGATGACCTTATAAGGTTGGTCGCTTATCTTTTTATCTTTGTTTGGAGAGTTATCCATTATTGTTCCTCCTCCACAATGGTTTTAGATGTCTTCATGTTTTATATTCTTAGGGAAAGACAAAAGGCGCTGAGATCCTTGGAGGAAGATGAATGTAGTAGAAGGTTTTCTTAAGTTTCTATCTCCTCATCTTTCATATTTTTATACGAGAACTTTACTAAGATCAGTAAGGCAAACACACAGGTACATGTTTATGACAGAGGAAGATATAACAAGCCTTCCACGCTTTCAGGTCAGTCCTCTCCTTCTAGTTTATAGATCATCTATGGCTTTCCCGTCAACAAAATAAACTGGTTATTGATACAGAACCAGACCCTCTTGGCGATTAAAGCTCCTACAGCTAGTTACATTGAAGTCCCAGATCCTGATGAGGTTACTGTTTTTCATCCTTCCCTAAAGTGTACAGTACCGTTCTAATTTAATGCGTTGACATAGTGAAGCAGATGTTTTGTTATGATTAGGTGATGAGTTTCCCGCAAAGACAATACCGGATGGTGATCAGGAGTAGGATGGGACCGATTGATGTCTACCTTTTAAGGTACCCGCTTATTCTCTCTCTGTCTGGTCTTATCTTTATTGATCTCGGAACAAACCTGATCGCAGCAAATACAAAGGAGATGACAGTAGGGAAACAAATGAGTCCGATCAAAATGCGCCATCTGGAGTGGACACTCCTTCCTTGAAAATTGTAACTTCAGATACTGATGTAAGTAATACATGATCCACATATATGGGTTTTTGAGTTCAGTTTTGTTTGTGTTGTGATTGAAGTTAAGCTTTGTTTGTGTATTGCAGTTAAAAACAGATTACTGGTTCGAGTCAGAGGCAGAAGTGAGTCTTACAGATTTATGGAACACTTTTACTGAGAATTAAGTTATTGAAAACCTCAAATTCCAACTTCTGGAGAAGTATGAGTGATATAAATCTACATATTACTTTTTACACTACGCCTTTGAGATTGAATCCCTTACTTTTGCTCTTATTATCTCTTTATAAAAGATGAAACATTCTAATGTTAGGATATATCTGGATAATAAACCCACAAAAATATATAATAATTAATTTTGGCATTTGGATTTCAACCCTAATCGATTGCAACTTGGACAGTGCACACATTTATGTTTGGAATGTAGTTTCGGGAGTAATGTGTCTGACATTTCAGTTCGACTTCAAACCCTGAGGTCTCATTGCATCCAGGCTCTTTGATTTACCCTCCCCTTTATTGATGTTCTGAAATGTAACAATCTCTGCTTTTACCTTCCATTTTATTTTTATCTACTTAGAAAAAAAGTTATGATTTTGAGTTTTAACTCTATTGCCATGTAGTTTTTCGTTGTTTGAAATATGTGTTCTTAGGTATTAAAGACTGTAGCTTTACCCCAACAACTGCTCTCATAAAATCTGAACCACTGATAAATCATGCTAAAGGATGTAATTCTTAGTAAAGCCACACTGGCTTGGTGTTTTTTTAATTTTACTAGAGTATTTCGCCGTGTAAAGCGATTATATATTATAAATTGTAGAAAATTTGAAAATATTCTTATATGAGATTATTTTAAAATTATTCCTTTATTTTTAATATTTTAAAATTCATGTTATTTATGTAAATTGAATAACTACACAATCAAAACGTTTTTTAAACAACACTAATATTATATACACAATATCTTACTAATAGATATTTTACTATAGGTTTTCTATTTTTTCATATAGTCTTTTTCCTCTAATTTCTTTCTGGTTATTTTATTTTAATTAGAAAAATCAAATTATATGAAAAACTCAAGATCGATATAACAAAAACTTAGCTATGAGATATTGACTTTTGATAGAAGGTTAGAAAGATCATACTATGTATGAGGGTATGAATTATGCTTGCATGCTCCCTGTTTCTATAAACTTTCTATTTTCTTTAGAATATGGACTTTAACACTTTTTATAAAAAACTGCTTTTTTAGTTTTAAAAAACATTGTATAAAATTTCTCTATTTTCTATTTTAAATTATTAACATGTATCTGTCTTAAACATATTCTTATCTAAAAACATAATTAACTTAAATTGAATTTAGTTTTTAATTTATTAGTTTTTTTTTGGTGGGCAAACGGGAGGAAACCTCCCTTTATTATTAAAAGTTCAAAGTCTAAGATATGACAACACGTCGAGCACAAATAACCCCTAGAACATCATCCTCAAGTATGGGAATAACATCAGGAGGAGCGGCAAAAAAAGTATGAATTCCTAAAAGTAACGTAAGTGTATAGTTAGCTAACCCATCGGCAAGACGGTTCGCTTCTCTATACTCGTGATTGATTCGGACTATCCAGTCCCTTGAAAGAAAGTCGTGGCACAAACGCACCAGGAATGACAGTGGGTGAGTTGCCTCAATTTCCTGTCTTAAGAAAACCAACTACAACTGCTGAGTCCACCTCTAGCTCCAACCTTGTGATTCCTTTATCCCATGCCAACACCAACCCGTAGTAGACTCCCCAAAGCTCAGCTAGCGGAGCCTAGCAACGGCCGATGTTCAGCGAGAAACCACCACACCACTCCCCAAATCTGTCTCTCAATACTCCACCAGTGGTCGCAGCGCCTGGGTTTCCATGTGAAGCCCCGTCTGTATTGAGTTTGACCCACTGATCTTGCGGAGGTCTCCACCCTATCCTTCGTTCTACACGTTGTTGATGGGCGTGTTGCTTGATTCCCAAGGCGTAATGTGCTTTAGTTGCCTCCGTGGCTTTTTCTTTGACAAATCTAACTCGATCTCTACACAGTCTAGTGTCTCCAAAAACATTTCCACACCTCCATTTCCACCCATATTGTCATTGCAAAGATTGTTGACCATGGGCTTTCTCCTACTATCAGGTCATTTTCCATGTTTGTAAACAACCATTGACATAGTGACTGACTGAAGAAGATCCTTCTCTTGCTCATCGGGACCATACGATTCCAAATTCCTTCAATAGCCGGACAATCTCGTAGGACATGTAACACTGTCTCCGGAGCACCCTTACAGACATCGCACGTATCGGAAACTCCAAAATGCCTCCTAACTCTCTCGTAATTGGTCATAATAAATTGCTTTCCAGCCATCCATAAGAAGCATCTCACTCTCTCAGGAGCCACTATCGTCCATAGTCGCTTGTCGAACTTCTCCATATTCTGTCTTGGCAACTCATTACTAGTTAATAAATCATAAGCAGACTTTACCGTGAAACCTCCATTCAAAGTTCCTTTCCACGCCAGTCTATCCTTTGCTCCTGTAACATGATCAGGGACCACAGCCAGTAGTTCCAGACATTTGTCCTCTGTCAGATAAGGAGCAATATTCTCCAGATCCCATCCAACACCTTCTTTCCAAAGATCTTTCACTAACATGTTTTCAGATTCTTGTGGAAGAGTATCCGTAATCGAATGTAGTAAAGGGGCGTCTGATAACCAGGTATCAGACCAAAATTTAATCCGTCTTCCATCTCCAAGCACCCATCTCTGACCTCGAACCACTACCTCTCTCAGTCCTCTCCCCATCACCAACATGATCTTTCTTTCTCAAAACCCGAGCCCACAGACTATTCTCATTATGTAGCACTCGTCAATCAATCTTTGCTATCAAGGCTTTGTTTATCTCTTTTGACCTCCGGATCCCCAGCCCTCCTTCGCTTTTTGGTTGACAAATCGTATCCCACGCAACGAGGTGAAGTTTTCGTTGATCAGGTGAGCTCCCCCATATGAAGTCACGCGCGAGTCTATCCAACCTATCAAGAGTGCTTTGCGGGAGCATGATAGTGCTCATGGTGTGCACTGGAATCGACAACAATACAGACTTTGTAAGAGTCACACGCCTTGCAAAACTCAGAGTACGGCTCTTCCAACCTGCAAGACCAGATGACACTCTCTCAAGAACTTCTCCAAAAGTATCCTTGTTTATGCGTTTCTGTAAAACTGGCATACCCAGGTATTTACCGAGGTCACACGTTGACTGAATGCCACTCGCATTACTGATCGTTCTTCCCAAGTCCAGAGAAACATTCGAGGAGAAGAAAATCTTGGATTTCTCCAAATTAACTTTCTGACCAGAAGCTAGGCAGAATCTCTCCAGGACCCCTCTGATGACTCGTATCCGAGCAACCGAAGCCTCCGCGAAGAGTATAAGGTCGTCAGCAAACAATATATGGGATAACAACGGACCTCCTCTTGACAGTCGTATTGGTTTCCACGTATTCTCCACTACCGCTCCATCAATAAGGTGGCAGAGTCTCTCCATGCACAAAACTAAAAGGTATGGAGTTAAGGGGTCTCCCTGACGTAATCCCCTCAGCGGCTGGAAGCTATCTGTCATTTCCCCATTCCACAATAAACTCATTTAGGGACCTGTCACACACTGCATGATCCATCTTACGCATTCACCAGGAAAACCAGCTGCTCGTAAGGTATCTTCTAGGAAGTCCCACCCAATTCGATCAAAGGCTTTCTCGAGATCAAGCTTCAACAGCATCCACCTTTCTTCCTTTCTTCCTGTGCATAGAGTGGACAGCCTCTTGGACAACCACTATATTATCTGTTGTAAGTCTCCCTGGTAGAGAGATTGATTGGGCTGGACCAATGATTTTGTTCATGATCCCTTTCATCCTACTAACCAACGTTTTTGTGATCGTTTTAAACAAGACGTTGCAGAGGCTTATTGGTCTGAATTGCATTATTCTCTCTGGTCTTACAACCTTAGCAATAAGTACAAAGACTGCATTGTTTGTATTCTGAGGTAGCTCTCCCGTTCTGAAGAATTCAAGCACAAATTGGATAACCGAATTCCCCACCGTATCGCAGAAACGCTGATAGAACATGGGTTGAAATCCATCTGGACCTGGGGCTTTAAAACTTCCCATGCTCCTAACCACTGTCTCAATCTCAACGGCTGTAAACGGTCGCATTAACTCTTGACAATCAGCATAGGAAAATGTCGCAAAACTCCCCCGAGGCAGAGCTTCTACTGATTGTTCAACATCCTCCAAGGAGTACAGTCGCTTATAGTAGGAGATAGCCAACTTCTCTAGCTCCTCCCCATCAGTAAGCCACTCACCCTCCTCATTTTTTAACATCTCGATCTTATTCCTCCTTCTGCGTATGACTGTAGAAGTATGAAAGAAAGTTGTATTACGATCCCCGTGGGTAAGTAACTTTTCTAGAGATTTTTGAAACCAGATAAGCTCCTCCTGCTCCAACACCACATCAAATTCTTTAGTTAAAATTCTTTCCCTCTGTAGCAGATCATCGGAGGGGTTAATCTCATCAGCTCGTGTAGGATTGACCTGAAGGAAAGGGCCCCCCGCTCTCCCCAGGTTCCCCTGTTTGACTCTCAGTCGTTTCCCATTACTCGACAGCTCAGTCTCTCCTCCGACTGGACCAAACACCAGCCCTCTCATGGGCCTCGACTTCAATATTGATTTGGGATTTGGGTTTCTAATATCTGGGCCACCTTAAAATTATCCTGTCTGTTTTTTCGTTACTGTTGGAGTGGGCTTGGGGCGGTTGTCTTTTGGAATTCCCGCCGAAAAAACAATGCCTGAGTCTCGGCTCGCGATCTTCGTGAAATTATTCTCTCCCCGAATATTTTCATTCCCCTGAATAATCTCATTTTCCTTATTTTCTCCTTGGGCAATCCCTTCTTGCCTTATCTCCGGAGATTCAGAATCTTCCATCAAGCTTCCAAAACTATTGGACACGAGGATATTCTGAGTTTCCCTGTTTCTAGGGATCTCCCGGAGATTGCGACCGGAGCCCTCTCTCTGGTTCCCTGCCATTGTTCTACTCCTCGAACTCTCCCCCCTTCTTCAAAATTGGCGAGCTGGCGTAAACCCATCGTCTTCCTGTCGTGCCGGAGGCGGGTTACCGATGGCGACTTGTGGTACCGCCGGAGCGGTTCTCTGTTCTTGAGGAATACTCCCAACAGCAAAGCGCTCATGGTTCACCTTCGGACACGTATGCACCAAATGACCGAACATACCACAATTAGCACAGATTTGTGATAGACCCTCGTAGGAAACAAAGTATCTGTCCCCATTGATCATTATCGATCC